AGCCTGCAGCTTGTTTTGTATGGCTGCTGGGCAGGCTTTATGGGTGTGCAACCTGTGTAGTTGCAGAGGGCCCTGCACTGAGAAGGGTCCACACTTAGTTTAATACTCTGCTGTAACCATCTTGAAATTCTTAAAATAATTTTTAAATAAGAGGCTCCACATTTTTATTTTGCAGTGGACCTTATGTAGCCAGTCCCATATGGCCCTTTTGGTGCCCCCACTGATACTGCCTGAGCCCTGTAGATGTTTGAGTTTGAGACTCCCTGCTTCCTCCTACTCTGGAACAATTCAAACAGAAATTGTAGTGCTTAGAAAAACTAAGGGACCATTGTCAAAACAACCCAGAGCAAGGCCCTTGTACATGGTAATTCAGTGGCATGCACAGGAACTCAGTGGCATTTCTTTTATAGGCAATGGGGGATATATTACATTATCCTTGAAGATATTTTTTGATATTACTTGAAGTAAGATATTACTTGAAGATATTTGGTAGGTCAGGTTTATTTGTCACCACCATTGCTTTCAGGGGAGAAATCAAATCTTCTTTGCAAAGCAAGCTAATTAACCATCCTGTTGGTTCAATGTTTATATTAATTCTCTTGCCCTTTGTTTACTACTTGATTACTTTTATCACCTTCTTTGTTTAACTCTCATTTAAATTACACAACATATTTATGCTGTCTGGGTATTTTTTTTTTAGTACTATCCTTTTTTTTTTTTTTTTAATTCTCTCTTTCCAGGAGGCCAGAGGGCCTATAATTCACGGTTATATTACTACAGGAAAAGTTCTTTTTTTTCAATTTAAAAGGGAATTATAGTCAATATTTATAATGAACCCTTCTCCAGCAAGGCAGTTCCAGCCATGCTAATGTTCAGAAGTCCAGATCTGCCATTACTGTTTATAATAATGAGATGCTAGTAACCGACTCCTGGACGTTATGGTAGGTGAAGCATTCCCACCCATCATGTCACTGTGAGAAGTGGCTGTGTTAATCTGTTAATCTACAGATTTGCAGAGAGTTGTTAGAAAATGAGTATGAATGATGGCACTTGCTGCACAGGAAAAAGGTAAAGTTTTTTTGACTGTGTGAGTAAACAGGAACCTGACAAATCCAGAAAGGACTCTTGCCACCTCTTAGAAGCCTAAGAATAGAGTCTTCTTCAAGGATCAAGCCCCAGGAACTCAAGATCTTGTACCCCTGAACAATTCTGATACTCACTATGTCCATCACTGTACAAGCTGTAAAACTAGCTGTTTCAGCTAATTTCACCAGTAGTCAACAATTGACAAATGCATCACATATCTACCATGTACAGTATCATATGCTAAGAGAACAAACATATTACAAATAAGGATGACTATAGGCACACACATATCTATTACTTGGAGAGCACGACATAGATTTAACATGGTGTTAGCTGGGCTGTGCATATAGATGGTCATGATTAGTTCTTCCTTTTTTCTGAACATACCTTGACATGGAGCTCCAAGCATATCTGTGGAGGTTCTCTCATCTTCTGTTCTCATCCAATTTCTTGATTTAAGTGTTTGTCTAATAACTCATTACTTTTGCTGGCCCACTCAGAATTCTTGTTTCTCAGCCCTTTCTCAGCTTTCTCAATCTTGAGTGCTCATAGTTTGTTACTACCCCAGGTAGTCTCTTATCAATGTGACCTTTTGGGACAGTTCTGAACTCATCACAGTCCTCCCCACCAGCAGCCCCCGAGGCCCTCATCTCTCTGCCACTGTTTATTCCTATTACATTAGCATAAAAGTAGCCCATGGAAAACCAAATGATACTGCAGTTTCTCTGATATGGCCCTTGGAAATAATCTGCTTGCTTTTAGCTTTTAATAGTTAATTCAAATACTTCCTTGTATTTAATCTGTTTTTGTCTTTGTGTGAATTGAAAGGGAATGACCCTTTAAAACTCATATTAGTCAGTCTTGCAGGCAGCCTCCATGGAGAATCAACTAGAAATAACTGAAACAGTGGGCGGGAGGGGCGTATGTGATGTGGTAGGAGACTATATACAACATGAAAACAGTTGTGCAAGTACAGTGTAACAAATTTGTCCTTTAGGGTTATTGGTACATTTCATTTTAAATTAAAAGTAAATAAAAATAAGGGGGTGATGATGAGAAGATGGGCAGCACAAGAAGAAGCCGAAGGATGAACATTTCTTCAGGCTTGGCTAGTAGGAGCACACAACTTCTAGAACACTGCCTCAGAAGGGCAGCTTCTTCAAGAAAAAAGGACAGATCTGAAAACAAAGGTAACAATAAAAACTACCACAAAGAGAGATATGATTCCTCTGAGAACAAATAAAGAATCAGATTGGTGAATTAAGATGTTACAGTTTATATTAATTTAGTAATAAATACTTGATAACAGGATTTTTAAACATTTGAATTTTGACTAAACTGAAAATAGGTTGAAAGGCCGAGGATGGAGAAAAAGATAACATAACCAGCGTAAGAAGAGAAACAGGCCTGGCATGGTGGCTCATGCCTGTAATCTCAGCACCTCAGGAGGCTGAGCGGGGAGGATTGCTTGAGCCTAGAAGGTCCAGGCTACAGTGAGCCATGGTTGCACCACTGCAGTCCAGCCTGGGCATCAGAGCAAGACCCTGGCTCAAACAAAACAAAACAAAACAAAACATGTTTTACTCTGTTTTTTTCTTGTTTGTTTTTTGTTGTTGTTTACTTAAAGAGTTTTTCCTTTTTTTTATTTGCTTTAGTTAATATCATTTGGTTGATTTGTTGTAAAGGTGAATACACCCATATATTTTGTTTTTCTTTTTTAAATATAAGAATTAAAAATATTATTTCTGAAAATAACATAAATTATTATCTTTGGTGTGATGTTTTTTTCTCTGGTTCTTAGACCTTAACACCATCCTGTCTAAATACCATATATGCTCAGATACTCAAACGAGAAGTAGTAAATTGAGTGCTATCAACCAGCTTGAGGAGAAAATAAGCTTTCAAAAAAAGTCTACTCTAGAACCTTAAATGGCGATGGAAATGTTACATACCCAAATCTAAAGTGATTTTTTTTTTTTTTTGCAATAGCTTGCATCAAATAGGAGGATTACATTTTGGGTTTGGAATCCTAACATCCAGCAATTTACACATATGTATATAGACTGAAATTCTCTGAGTAAGAGATTAGTGGTGGGGGAGGTGAGCAGGGAATAGGCAGTCCATGAGAATAATAGTCATGTTTCCCTTCTTGACTTACTCCATCTCCTGACACCCTATACCTAAACACTGAACAAAAACAGACCTCGGCAGGGTGGATTTTGGAGCCAGGTATGTTTACCTTTGAATCTTAGTTCTACTATAAAATTATTAGAGTTATGATCTTAAGATTCTTAGAACCCCATTTTCCCCATATGTAAGGAGAATATCCATTTTACAAGATGAAATGAAGTATTTTATGTAAAGTTATTGGCACGAAGTGAGCATTTGATAAATAAAAGTTATTATTTCACATATTTAGAAGTAGTGGGGTAAAATTATCACTCTCTCAAGAAGAAAATGCAGTTTCTCCTCAACTCCAGCCCTGAAACTAAGAACATCATTTTTAGAGTTTTTAAGAGAAGGAACTCTTTAATATATTTTAAATGCTTATACTGTGTCAAACATATATATTATTTCATTTAATTTCCTTTCTCTACTTAAATTTTGTTCATAACCCTTATCACTTTCTGCAAACTAAACATTTTACTTGTTGTTTGTTTGTTTCTCCCTGGTATAATATAACTTGTATAAGGGCAGAGATTTTTGTCTGTTTTGTTCATTGATGTTTCCTTAGCTCCCAGAATAGTGCCTGGCATATGGTAGGTGCTCAATAAACATTTGTTACAAGAGTAAATGAATCCACATAACCCTGTGAGAGAGGCAACATGATTGTATGCAGTAATAAAAAATTAATTCTCTTTTGCAGTGGTCCTTTTTAAGGTACTAAACACCCTTAAGTTATTCTTGCTATTCCAGATAGTGTGCCAAGAAATTCTTGTGGCTGATGGTTAGGGTATCATGTACCATCCAATTATTCTAAATTCTTCTATTGGAAGCAGGGATATTGCCTGGGAAGCTCTGATGTCCTCCTCTCTAAAGGGTTTCAATGAGGGAGGTGGGGTTTCACAGGTCATTTGAAAGATATATTGATTCTTTTACTGGTGGTTGTCTCTTCCTTTCTCTCTTTAGTGAATTTGGGTCCCCTTCAGGAACAGGGTTATTTATTCTCCTTTAAATCATGAATTCCCAGCTGTAAATCTCAGATTGATGGATTGGTAGAATTTGAAAGACTCTTTGATGAAAGTTTCAGATAGGGAGACTGATAAGCCATGACAGTCAGCCCTTCTCTGTTGCTATTAAAAATACTCTAATGAGAAATAGAGCAAAGCACAGGAACACAATGATACAGTTGTTTGGCCAGAAGAACATACAGCTTCATAAATGAAGGGACTAATTAAGATAGCCTAATTCTATACTTACTTTGAATTAGAATCAAAACAATCTTTTAGTAGTGGATATCTGCAGCTGAATTTTGTACCAAAGGCATATTCTAAATGTCATGCTTTCGAACTGAGTATTTATTTCTCAGGGAGCAGGTGTTAGGGTTTTTTTTTTCCTTGAAATTCAAACCATTTTGACAGTATCCTATTTTTAGAATGCCTTTTTCTTTAAAAAGACAAACAATATCCAAAAGCAGTAGAAAGACATCTTGGGAGAAGGCAGTGTTCTGGTTATACCATAATCATAACAAGCTGAATAAGAAAAAGTCATGTTGTTAAAATTTAAAACTCACAGCGTTTTTATTTTATGATAATAAAACATATTTAATATACTTACTTTCAACAACCTTATGCTACAAAATAAAAATTATACTTCATGAAAATTTTCTTACAACTGCAATATATGGCATGGTCAGTTGCAATGTACAAAGACATTATTGTGTTCAAATAGCATGTTATTCTAATCTATTTCAGAGAGCACTGGACTGGGAGTAAGGCACCTGAATTTTTAGTTCCTGCTGACATACTCTTCCTGAATCTTGGTTTCCTCCACAGTAAAACAAAAGGGTAAAATTTAAATGATTTTTATTTCCTGATAGCTCTAGTATTTTGTGCCTCATTTACAGGGTTCTACATATTTCTCCATTGTTTATTTAGTCTTAGGATTTTCCAAAAATCTGTTCCATAGAATATTTTAAATGTCCTTAGTGTGCTCATGTAGATGAAAACATACTTTAATTTATTATCTTAGTTCATTTGGAGTGTTATAACAAAATACCATAAACTGGGTAGCTTGCAAACAACAGAAATTCATTTCTCACAGTTCTGGAAGCTGGGAAGTCCAAGGTCAAGGTACCACAGATTTGGTGTCAGGTGAGTCCACTTTCTGGTTCACAGCTGGCACCTTCTAGTATGTGCTCACATAATGGAAGGGATAAAGAGTCTCTCTTGGGCCTCTTTTATTAGGGCACTAACCCCATCCATGAGGGTTTCACCCTATGATCTAATCTCTTCCCAAAGGCCCTGCCTCCTAATATCATCACCTTGGGGGTTAGGATTTTAACATATAAATTTTGGGAACACACAACATTCAAACAAGAGTGTTTATATACCATTTATATTTCACACTTGTGTGTTTTATTAGCTTATATTTCGTAATACTTTTGGTGGTCAACCTAAAGTCAACACATAAAGTTTCACTTAAACTAACAAGCTATTGTCTTTCACAATAAAATTTTTTTAGAGTTTCCTTATCTTGCAAATTTGTGTTTCTATTTGTTTTTTCTCTTTTTAGCCACAACATATTTTTGCTGTTAATGAGTTGGGTGAAGTATTTGGTTCCCCTCTACTCTTCCTATTGGGTATAGAATTTCTTTAGAAATTTACGCTGCTGCTCTAGACATTCACATAAAATACAAGTGAATGTGCCGTTGTTAGGTCAAACTGTATGGAATTTCCATTTTTGTTGTCAAAAAATGGCCACATATTAACAGTTTTATGATACTTTGATAACAGTTTCCAATAATTTGTTCATTATCATAACAATGTTAGTCTTTACTATTTTTATAACTCAGTGAGGAGAGCCAGTCCCTAAATGAACTAGTGAAGCAAAGAGCACACAGGGTCCTTGGTGAAAGATAGATTTGGGATTGAATTCTGCTTCTCCACTGCCAACATCGTGACCATGGGCAAGTTGCTGAGTTTTGTTGAGCTTCAGTGTCCTTGTTTGTAAAATAAAAATGATAATGCCTGCCTCTCAAGCTTGCTAAGAAGAATGCCCCTGGCTCCCAGAATAGTGCCAGAATGTTTTATTTGGTCTAAAATTACTGTCAGGCCGGATATGGTGGCTCAGGCCTGGCCATCATTTTAGGAAAGCTCAGGAGGGAGATTGTTTGAGTACAGGAGATTGAGACCAGCGTGAGCAACACAGCAAGACCCTGTCCCTTAAAAAAAAGTAAAAAATTATCTGTGTGTAGTGGTGTACAACTGTAATTCCAGCTACTAGGGAGGCGGAGGCAAGAGGATTGCTTGAGCCTAGGAGTCTGAGGCTACAGTGAGCTGTGATCACATCACTGCACTCCATTCTGGGTGATGGAGCAAGACCCTGTCTCTAAAAATAAATACGTAAATAAAATAACTCTGTTGAGTCCATGAGTCTGGTACCAGACTGGAAGGGACAAATCTTTGAGTCTCCACCTTTTCTCTGGATAATCTATGCTTGTTGATGGCTTCTCCTATTGCCATGTGCTGCTGACTCATAAATTCAGATTTCTAGCCTCCAGTTATTTTCTCCCAGATCCAGGCTTGTATTTCTCCTGCTTTCTGTATGTCTTTTCCTGAATCTTCTACAGGCACTTTTCACTTAGCACACCTGAAATGATCTCATCCTTTCTGAACTTCCTGTCTGGAATTAAGCATTGTTTTCAGTCCCTACCCTTAGGGTGGAGACTGGGAGTCATCCTAAGCCCTCTCTTCCATGTCTGCCCTCACCTAAGTCCTGTTGAGTCACCAAGTTCTGTTTTGTTTCTAAGTGACTGGGATTTGGTAAAAATGAGCTTAAGATCACCCCATATAATTTTTCATTGTGTGATAGATCTAGGTCATGTTCTTCTACTTCCTGGCTTCCCTTTCTCTAAACCATAGAACTGATATTATTAGACATTTTCTCATGAAGGCCCTCCTATCTCCATGATCTTTCTAGCTGCTCTTTGAATCTTTTCCAGCTTTGTTAAAGCCCATGTCTAGGACAGCCTCAAGTATCCAGTGTGGCTAGTGAACTGTGGTGAAGAGAGGGAGAAAATGCAGCGTCAGCGCTGGATGGGGACTCTACTGAACAAGAGATGTGTTATCCTAGATAGAAAGGGTTTGTTATTTTTTTTTTAATTTTGAAATAGAAGTCTGTCTGATCAGAGAATTCTCCAAGTTGATATGTAAAGTTACTACATCCTAATTCAAGAGGATTACATAGTGCTGGCTTCAGCACCAGAAAGTGTTTCTGTTTTGCACAATTATCATTTGTCTTTGGAATTAATTCCAGTAGGCAGGAGCGAGTTTTAACTCCATGGCCTACAACACTGGCATTGTTACTCACACTAATGTTCACAATAGAACAAAGCAGCAACCTTTTTTCCCCTTGAGGATTTAAAAGACCTTTTTTCCCCTTGAGGATTTTCCCATGAGGAAGGTAGATAGGATGTTGGTAAGCTTGGGCTTGGGGTCAGTTAAATCTTCTGGGTTCAAATCTCAGTCCCACCACCCACTAGCTCTGTGCCCAGGGAAACTTGCCTAACCTTTCTTGGTCCTATTTTCTTCACAGTACCTTCCTTGTCAAGTATAGTGAGACTTGGACACAATGTGTGTAAAGCACCGAGCAGAGTGCCTAAGATACAGGAGGTGATCTGGAGTGGTTAGTGGAGACCTAGACTATTCAGAATGTAAGCAGAGGGCTAACTGGTGGTCAGCCTGCCTAGCCCTGGTTTTAGGAGACTTTCTGTTCCAATTCTGGACCTGTGGGATATTGGTGGTCAAGTAAGTCTTGTACTATAATCTAATCCAGCTGCCCTGCTTCCTCCTTAAATTAGACAGGAACAACTGTATCAACTGTAAAGAACTGGGGAGACTAGCAGTATCTCTGCTTGTCTTGGCCCATGTTTCACACCTCATTAAAGCCCCAGTTTCTTCTTACAACCTTTGCCTTTTCTCTAGCTCTCTGTGGTCATAACCCTCTCTGAATTCCTAAAGCAATAATGCTTTTTATCATGATTTACTATTTGTTCATATACTCTGAGGTTGTTTCACATGTGTAAGTCTGTCTCCTCAAGCAATTGGAAGCACCTCTGGCAAAAACTCTGCCTGTTGTATTCCCCAAGGAGCTGGCCCCTGTGTGAAACTGGGGACAGAGGCAGTTTGACCTACTCTGCCTGTGTTCCCAGTCCCTCTTTCTACTCAGGGATGTCAGGAAGCTGTTTCTGGAGTCTGCCATCAGGCATTGCTCAAGGCCGTGTCCCATGATCCATCCAAACAGTGTTGTTGTCATTCTAGCTGCAATGTTTTGGGAGCTGTCCAGACAAGTAGTGATTATAAGACCAAGAGATTCTTGCAGTGTCCTGAATATAACACTAATCCAACATGCATTGATCTAATGCCTACACAGTGGCATGATTGTGCCATGATTGTGCAGGACATGTGTAGCTGAGCAAGATAATGGGGAGTCAGAGAAATTATAAAACCACCTAATTAGTACCAGTAATTACAAAGAGCTATGGGAAGGTAGATGAGGGTGCAGTTAATTCAGTCAGGGTTCAGGGTCTAAACAGGAAGTAAAATCTGACCTGAGCTTTGAGGAGTGACTGAGGATTTCAGCTGGGTATAGATAAGGGCATTTCTGAGTGTGGGTGCCCACCGTGTTAAGCAAGTGGAGTATAAGAGTATATATAAGGAGGCCTGGGTGCAATGGCTCACACCTGTAATCCCAGCACTTTGAGAGGTTGAGGCAGGCAGATCACTTGAGGTCAGGAGTTTGAGACCACCCTTGCCAACATGGCGAAATCCTGTCTCTACTAAAAATACAAAATTTAGCTGGGTGTGGTGGTGCACCCCTGTAATCCCAGCTACTCAGGAGGCTGAGGCATGGGAATCTCTTGAACCTGGGAGGCGGAGGTTGCAGTGAGCCTAGATAGCACCACTATACTCCAGCCTGGGCAACAGAGTGAGAATCTGTCTTAAAAAAAAAAAAAAAAGAGTATATATAAGGAGAATGAGGGTATAGAGAGTATGTGTTTAGGATGAGGCTCAGAGAGGAGGCTTGGATGGGATTTGGAAGGGCATGTAAAAAAATGGCTGTGTAAAATGAGTATTTATATATCAAATTTTGTTTTTCCTATGCTTCCTTTCTAATTTGGGGAAATGTTTTCATAGAAGGGATTTTAGGGCCAATGAATATTAAAATTCATAGTTAAAACACAATGTTGTCAAGGGAAATTCCATATTTTAAAATGTGCATTTACTTCTCTAATACCAATTCAGTTCACACAGTCTGTCGCATACACAGGTGTTAAAATGCTGTATCTAGTTAACTTCACATTTTTCCCACAGGTATTGAATATGTAAGCAGACACAGGGGTAACTCTCAAGGAACAAAATTGCCTGAAGGCTTTTTCCCAGGTACAGGTAAAGCATTGCCTTGGAAATGATTACATGACTTAGCAATGAGGGGTTAGTATTTCTTTAGGCTGTCAGCTGTGATGTAGCCAGTAGCATCTGAGCTTGAATTGTCTCCATCACTGAGCTTCAGACATGTTTGGGCATGTCTGCTGAATGTCTGCCCTGTATCTGTGATGAGTTGGTGGTCTGTCCCATCAGTGTCTTGATACTAGAGTCAAAAGCGGTTCCCAGAGAGAATGTATCCTAAGAAAGGTAGAGTCAGCCACAGTAAGCTCTGATCACCAGAGGGTGGAGTGATTCTGAGGTCAGTTTCCATGTGGGTCATGAGGAAGTGTCCTCTGTCAGCCATTCCCTGGACTCTGTCTGTCCTGAGTCCTAGAAAAGCTGTGGAGGGGTGAGTGGGC